AAAAAAAAAAAAAATTTTTGCAGATCAACAAAACATTAATGTAAATACCATGTTTTTAATCGACACTACTGTTTTGGTCTGTTTTCTTTTTTGTTTAAATAATTACACTTCTACCAAACACGGTGGGAGGTCTTCAATAACAGACAGAACAGAAAAAGCAGCAGCAACAGTAAAAGAAAAACAACAAAACAGTAAAAAAAAAAAAAAAAAACAACAACCTTAGACGAAAAATAAGTGTGAAAAAAATTTTTTTGCTTATATAATTGGGTAAAAATAAAACAGCCTTTGTTTTCTCAGCATTTTATTACTTCTTATTGAGTACTTAAAACTAGGAACACAAAAATTTCTTTACTTTTTTTCTCTTTGAAGTTCTATTTGCAATTTTTTTTTCTTGGACCTAAACTGTAAATAGAAGAAAAAAAAAAAAATGAACCGTAAATATTTATTTATTTAATTTTTGTTGTTGTTGTTGCTGTTGTTGACGTTGACATTTGCAATGATTTCATAATTAATCTTTGTAAGAATGACATGCTTTTCTTTTTAAACTACAACAAATTTCCCCTTTCCGCTTTCCTTTCTTTCCGTCATCCAATTCATTTGCAATTCTAAAAAAAAGATGAATCACAGTTATAATCCTACTTGACGTAACACCACCAACAAGCAATAAATCAACTATGATGTTAATTATTAACGGAAAAAAAAAAAAACAAGAAAAATAGTGACAAATGAAAATTAACTGTTAAATAAGAACTGCTATGACAGCGACAATGGTTGTAGCAAAAAAGAAAAATGAAAACGGAAAAAATTTTCAATTAATTTTAAACTGTTCTGTTTACAGTTACTTAAAAATAAAGCATTTATAAAATAAAATAAGCCCACAACTTCACGAATATTTGAATCAGTAAAGACAAAGTGGAGTGAAACAAAAGTCATGAACTTTTGTAAAGGGATACAGTGTACTGAAGAAATTGAGGAGGATTAAGGAAGAAAGGACCTGTAGCTAGGCTTATGCGAAAAACAGGCTATTTTTAACATCTATAACTCATCTTCAGAACAGGATAACTTATTCGAAATACACCTAACTAATGCCCATCAAAGACCAAAATGTTTTTTTATTTTGTCGTACGATGAGTGACTAATAACTAAGGTGGTTAGATTACAAATTTTATCCTTCTTATTTATTCCTTTGGCTTTTTTATTATTTTATTGCTCGTTTTCTTTTACCTGGGATAAACAGGGCAGCACTGACCCGGTGGAACATAACTTGGTGGTTTAAAGCTGTCCTCTGGACATTCCCCTTCATCATCAATGACGTCAGGACACTGAACGTTTTCACATCGTAATTCTGAAAAGCAAAACCCACATATTAATATAAAAAATGAACAGAAAAAAAAATATATAATGTCATCATCAATAATTATAAAAAAAAACCGTAAATACCCATTTAAAAAGTAAGGTTAAATAAATATTTTTTAAAAAATCAAAGAGAAAATAAAAGAAACAGTTTTAGTACCAAGCTGCTTGCACTCAAAACGATCACAGCAGTTCCCAGGTTCACCAACTGCTTTCTTGATTAATACTCTTTCACTTCCTTTCTCACAATCGGGCGTGAAAGGGTCGCATTTCTAAAACAACAATAAAAATTCGCAGCAACTCCTTTTTTTTTTTCATCAACGGCAAAAGAATTTTAGTAAAAACAGTAAATAATAAGAACAACAAATTTGGGGAAATTCAAAATTACTATTCCTATTTATTCTCTCTTTGCTTTTTTGTCTCTGCGTAATCCTTATCGCTTAAAGAAACACCTAATATATATATATATATATATATATATATATATATAT